ATGTTATATAATTAATTTAATATTGTAATATTGAAAGTTTCATTTTTATATATATAAAATTATTCATTTCGAAAGAAAAAAATTGCATAATTACATACTTTTTTAGTTATAAGTTCATAAATAAAAAAACATAAATCATATATAATTAAATTTAAATATTACCATGAAACATAACCAAACAAAATATTTCATTAATCTTAACTAAAATACTCTAGTATAATTTTTCTTTCATTTTTTTTATCCCAAATAAATAATCTACATAGATAATATATTTATCGTTCATTTTTTCAATAAAAAAAAGCCCGACTAGGCCCAGCTTGAGCCCAGGCCCTACTATGATTGGGCCTGGGCCCCACTTTTTGGACCATGGGTCGGCCCAGACCGACTTGCTAAAAAAGCAGGAGCCCGCAAGGCCCGCTTGGGCCGGTCTGAGCTTGAGCTCGGATCGGATGGGCTGGGCTGGGCCATTATTACATCCCTAGGTGCAACTCATTGTGAGCCTTTCTGTGGGACCTACCTCGGATTTAGTGAAATGATTCGATCATTTTGTAAGACATGTTAAGCATGCCATTTATGTAAATTATTAAATTAATTAAACATCGATAATTATATAATCAGATCACATTTATAATCTGAAGATGTGGCGGATGATATTTGATCAATTTGATTTTTTTATAAATGATTTGCTCGGTTATATTCTAAAAGATGAACAATTCAAATCATTTTGGTGGGCTTGAAATTAGCCCAACTAACGATCGCAATTGACACTCCAAACCCTAGAAAGAGGGAAGGAGCGGATCAAAATCATGTATAAACTGAAAAAGTTTAGAACACAAAAAAAAAAAAAAAAAAACACAAGAGGTTGTGGGTCTTACATCCTGTGTGTCTTTTATTTACACTTTCTACATATGTAGCAAAAGTAGTGTTGGTGATAATTACAAATAAAACATCAGAAAATACAAATAATAAAAATTACAATAACTATTGTAAGAGCTGAGGCGCGGGAAATTCGCTCTCTTTAAGGAGATTCAAGCCCTCTGCGGTTAGGCAAAGCCTCACACCGGTGTAGCAGAAAAAACCTTGACTTGTCCCCCCGAGGATACAACAGCCCAACTAAGTCGTATGGTTAACCAATACTGCACAATTGGTTGAACCTAAAACTTTATCACATACACCATTTTTTATTTGCCTGATAATCTCACACAAAGCATAACAAAGCAACAAAAACTTCTTCTCTACTCCAAGATAAGAAGTTAGATCAATTTATAGGAGATGAAAGCTTGGTGGACAAGTTTCTTGGAAGAGGATTCTTAGAAGTTGCTTGGAGGCTCATTGGAAGTAGCTTAGAGGATAAGACTTGACTCTTGGAAGACTTAGAAGAAGACTTGACTAGGCAAAGACTTGGAAGACTTGGTGGATAAGAATAGGAAATGAAATTAGTGGGCAATTTCCTTGGAAGACTTGAGAAGAAGACTTAAAGGATTCTTGGTCACCAAGAAAATGATTAACTTTGAAGAAAAGAAAACAAATCAAACCAATAACACATTATAATATTAAAATATCTGCTAATATTCTCCCACCTATTTTAATATTATAGGTAACAAAATCTGAGATTATTAGGCAAATAAGGATATTATGCATCATGGTAGGTGTGCTCTGTATTGAACATCCATTAGTGAAACAATAATATCTATTCTAGAGTCAATAGTATGCTCAGCATTGAACTATGACTACTTAAGGAAAATAAATAATTATTGCACACATATAATATTCCAGGTGTTCACATAAGCTTTCAAAGCCAGCACGTTACGGCCTTGTGCGATCCCAAGATTCATGAGTGTATTTGAGAATTAGCCCAAATCTCATAGGTAGTGACCCCACTACCACACTCATATAGGTAAATTCTGTCAAGGGTACTCCTGTACCTATGACACCCCACTCAATAAGAGCTATAGAAATTCATTAAGAATTTTTTAATAATTCAACCTCTACAACGTTACAAGATAAAGGCACTTACATTATAGGGATGGATAACAAGTAATTTAGTGCATTTCTCACGGCCATCATATGATCGTTTTTCTCATTGAACCCAGTTATAGGATCTCTGGTCCCTAGGTTGAGTATCCTCATACATGGCTCCTGCTATATTCAATGGGCTTCAACGCCATTCCCCTCGATGTATTCCAGATCTCTTGCTAAGGCCTTAGTTAATGGATCTGTAAGATTATCACCAGATTTAATATAATCCACATTTATGATGTCATTATTCATATAAGATCTCACAGTACTGTGTTTTTTTCTAATAGGTCTGGATTTACCGTTATAATAACGGTTATTAACTTGACCAATTGCTGCAGTGTTATCACAATGAATCAATATAGGTGGAATTGGTTTTTCCCAACAAGAAATTTCATTTAACAAATCTCTCAAGCAATTTGCTTCTTCACTAGCTATAGCTAAAGCAATAAGCTCAGCCTCCATTGTTGAATTAGCAATAATGGTTTGTTTTTTCGATTTCCAACTTATAGCACCACCTCCCAATGTAAATAAGTAACCAGTGGTTGATAATGAATCACCTGACAAGGTATTCCAATCGGCATCACTGTAGCCTTCAAGTATTGTAGGATACTTATTATAAAACAAGCCATATTTTATGGTACCAGATAAATATTTCATAATCCGCTCAATGGCTAGCCAGTGATCATTGCCAGGCTTGCTAGTAAACCTGCTAAGTACTCCAACTGTATAGGCAATGTCAGGTCTGGTACAGTTAGTCGTATAACGCAAGCTACCAATCATACTAGCATATTCCTTTTGATCAATTACATCCTCATCATTTTCAATAGGAAATAAATGCACATGAGGATCAAAAGGAGTAAGAACATGCTTGTACTTATAAAAATTATATTTTCTCAAAATTTTCTCAACATAATGCGACTGATCAAGAAATATATCATCACAAGTTTTGGTAATTTTTATTCCCAAAATATATTTAGCCTCACGAAGATCTTTCATGTCAAAATGGCTACTAAGCATATTTTTAATTTCCACGATGATATGCAAATTATAGCCAAATATAAGTAAATCATCCACATAGAGGCTAATAATGACATGTGAATTTTCTTCAGATTTATAGTAGATGCATTTATCACATTTATTCGTTTTATAGCCATTCTTAATCATGCATGAATCAAATTTCTCATGCTACTGTTTAAGGGGCCTGTTGTAAGCCATATAGGGATTTAACTAGCTTGCACACTTTGCTTTCTTGACCGGATTCCACAAAACCCTCAGGTTGATTCATATAGATTTCTTCACTCAAGTCTCCATTTAAAAAGGCTGTTTTAACATCCATTTGATGAATTTTTAGATCATGAATTGCAGCCACTACAATTAATAATCTAATGGATGTGACTCTAGTAATCGGAGAAAATGTATCAAAAAAGTCCAAATTGCTTGTTGTTTAAAACCTTTTGCAACAAGTCTTGCTTTATATTTATCAATAGTTTCATCCGGTTTAAGTTTTTTTCTCAAAACCAATTTGCAGCCAATAGTTTTACAACTTGGTGGTAAATCTACTAATACCCAGATTTTATTGAATAATAATGATTCCATCTCATCATTTACAGTCTCGTTCCAAAAAATGAGTCAGGAGATGCCAACGCTTCTTGTAAAGTTAATGGAGTTTCCTCCACATTAAAAACATGATAATCAAGGGCAAAATCTTTTTCTAATCTGGCTCTTTTACTCCTTCTAGGTTCAAAAACTACAGTATCTTGGTTTTGTAAAGGAAGAGTAGAGGAACCGGTTTCAAATAAAATATTTTCTTGATAATTTTGACCCCCACAATTTTTAGATTTAAAAGGAAATTTTTCTTCATGAAAAATTGCATCACCCGATTCAAAAATTATTTTGTTTTCCATATCAAAAAATCTATAGACTGCACTATTCGTTGCATATCCAAGAAAAGCACAAGTGGCAGCTTTCACACTTAATTTAGGTATTTTAGGATCCACAAGTCTAACAAGAGCTAGACAACCCCAAACCCTCAAATATCTCAAATTTGGCTTATGCCCTTTCCACAACTCAAAATGTGTAACTTTTGTTTTTTTATGTGGCACTCTATTCATAACATAACATGCAGTTAAAATTGCTTCTCCCCACAAATTTGAAGGAGCACATGCTTCAATTAGCATAGCATTTGTTAAATCAGTTAAAGTTCTATTTTTCCTTTCTGTTACACCATTAGATGCAGGTGAATATGGTGGAGTAGTTTCATGGATTATTCCCAAAGACTGAGCAAACGAGTTGAATCTAAAAGATTCATACTCCCGGCCTCTATCACTTCTATATCTTTTAATCTTTTTACCGAATTGATTTTCGACTTCAAGAAGGAATTCTTTAAATTTTTCAAAAGCATCACCTTTATTTTTCAACAAGTATACATAAGTATATTTTGAAAAATCATCAATGAAAGTGATAAAATATCTATTTCCACCACGTGTTAAAATTCCTTCAAATTCACATAAATCAGTGCGAATTAATTCTAACAATTCAGTATTTCTCACCATACTTTTATGAGGCCTTTTAGTTATTTTTGCTTGACTGCAAATTTCACATTTCTCAAACTTATTTGTTAGTCTGGGAATTAATCCTAAACTACTCATGACTCCCACATATCGGCTATTAATATGACATAGACGAGCATGCCAAAAATTCATAGAAGACAACATGTAAATAGAAACATGTGCTTTCTTATTCTCAACATTTAATTTAAACATTCCATCACAGGCATACCCTTTTTCCCACAAATATGCCTTTTTTAGTGATTATATATTGGTCAGATTCAATAGTCTGTTTGAAACTAGCTTTGTTGAGTAAATAACTCGACATCAAATTTTTCCTCATGGACGGTGCGTACAACACATCTTTTAAAACAAGCATAAGTCTAAAGGTAAAATTCAGCTCAACATCCCCACACCCGAGCACCTTGGTCAAACTGGAGTCACCAAGCATATCAGTCCTTTCATTAAAATGAGTGAAATTTTTGAACCAATCTTTATCATAGCAGACATGCCTATTGGCACCAGAGTCTGCCCACCACCCTTCCACAGATTGAACCATAAAAAAATATGTGATCATAGCCACAAATGGTTACTCGGTAACATTAGCATGTGGTCGAGACTGTTGTTTTCAAAATTTGCAAGTTCGAGCAATATGTCCACGTTTGCCACACACAAAACACGTCACATTTGTCAGATCTTGTGAAGGGGGTTCTTGGTTCCATTTCTTTTGCCTCGGGTAATTTTTATTTTGTAGCCTTCTAGTATTTTTTCAAATTTTCTTAACTGGCTTCAACTGACTATTTTTATGAAATCGACGTTTAGGTAAAGTATTTTCAAAAGTTAATTTTACCTTTGCAGTGGAATACTCTTGTGTCATAAGCGCATCTTGTCCTCGTGCTTCCTCCTCTACCTGAATCCATGTGATCAGAGTCTTCAAGGATGTCTCCTTTTGCTTGTGACGCATTGATTTCTGGAACTCCTTCCAAGATGATGGAAGTTTGTCAACAATAACTGCTACAACAAGATTGTCTCCAATTTTGATGCCTTCGGATCTAACTTCAGTCACTAGCATCTGAAAATCTTGAACTTGCTCCACCACTGATTTTCCATCTATCATCTGATAGAGGAAAAAACGGCTTGCAGCATATTTTTTAGCGTCTGCCTCTTCAGTGTTATATTTGTTCTGCAAGGCTTTCCAAATTTTCTTAGCAGTGGCGTAAGTAATATCATAATAATCATAAAATTGATCTGAAAAGCAATTCAAAAGATAATACCGACATTCATACTCATCTGCGTTGTATTTCTCGATTTTTTCAAGATGAGCGGCATACTCCTCGTCGGTCATCTCTTCAGTGGGGACTTTGTTCAGATTTTTCTCGGTCAAGATATAGGCCACCTTGAGAAGACTGAGTTAGAAAAGCACATTGCCTTTCCATCTCTTGAAATGGGCTCCCTTGAACTGGAAGGGCTTGTTGAGATCGCTGGTATTCTCGTTGGGCTTCTCCAGTACTGGCTCCATGAATTTTTGCTATTTGAATCTCCTTAAAATTGTTGGTGATAATTACAAATAAAACACCAAAAAATACAAATAATAAAAATTACAATAACCATTGTAAGGGCTGAGGCGCAGGAAATTCGCTCTCTTTAAGGAGATTCAAGTCCTCTACAGTTAGGCAAAGCCTCACACCGGTACAGCAGAAAAAATCTTGACTTGTCCCCCCCAGGATACAACAGCCCAACTTAGTCGTATGGTTAACCAACACTGCACAATTGGTTGAACCCAAAACTTTATCACATATACCCTTTTTTATTTGCCTGATAATCTCACACAAAGCATAACAAAGCAACAAAAACTTCTTCTCTACTCCAAAATAAGAAGTTAGATCAATTTATAGGAGATGAAAGCTTGGTGGACAAGTTTCTTGTAGGAGGATTCTTGGAAGTTGCTTGGAAGCTCCTTGGAAGTAGCTTGGAGGATAAGACTTGACTCTTGGAAGACTTAGAAGAAGACCGGACTAGGCAAAGACTTGGAAGACTTAGTGGATAAGAATAGGAAAGGAAATTAGTGGGCAATTTTCTTGGAAGATTTGAGAAGACGACTTGAAGGATTCTTGGTTACCAAGAAAAGGATTAACTTTGAGGAAAAGAAAACAAATCAAATCAAACCAATAACATATTATATTATTAAAATATCTGCAAACAAGTAGCAAAAGAAAGTGTTAGGGTGATATTTAGAAGAATTGTTGGTCTATTATGGGGTTCCAACACAGTGACTGCTAATCTTTATATTGTGATTGAATGTGAGAGGGGTCAATGTTGTAGTCTATACCCATTGGAAAGAAGTCCAGTGCTATTGGGTACAAATTGTTTCAAGAAGTTGGTCAGCCTATAAACTTGGGTAAAACTACTGCCAAGTCAAAATGGAGATGAAATGGGTGCAATAAAAAAAAAATCCCATTCCGATACAACAAAATGTTTCTCGAAAATAATTAAAGGAAGAGAAAAAAATAGAAAGAATTTACTCTTTCCATAAATTGTTCAATTTATATGAAAGTTTATGAACAAAAATAATTTGAACATTTTTATGGACAATTTTGTACTTTTTACCGAATAAGATTTGAGAAAAAGCGCTTACACTTTTGGTGGGATTTCTATTTTCTACAACAAATGAAAACATTGAACACAGAGACAACCTTGAAGTCCTTGTCAACTCAACTTTGCATCCACCCTGATGCTGAGTAATTCCCAGACCCCATATCTTTCAATAATGTTCCGATGGCTGTTTCAATAATCTTTCAATAGACATGTTCTTTTCTCTATTTTCTGTCTGTAGATAGAACATTCCTTAAAACCGGTAAAAAAACACACAAACACGCAGAGAATGAATTCAAAAAAAAAAAAAGAAGAAGTTATATTAGAAATTTGTGGAAAATACATGAAGCTTAATGGAATGTAGTTTCAAAAAGTTCTATTAGAGTTAAGCCAACAATTCAAATGTAGTTTCTTTGAAATGACTAATCAAATCCACTTTTCAACAGTGTACCTCCCTCCACCAGCAATGGTCAGCCACCCGTGTGGACCACTGGCATACGGAACAGCTCACCTTCCAATCTCAGAAGCATCCATAATGCCCAGTGAACTGCATTGTTTTGCTTCATAGTACACTATTCTTGAGTCACAAGAAGGCTGTATGAGATCATAACAACCACAAATTTCAATCAGACATCAATCAGACGGCACCAATTTCTTCGATGGAAAGTTCCTTGGGGACCTTCAGGCTTATTTGATCTGTATCCCACCCTGCTCCTTCCAACTGTTCCATGAAATTCTGAAACCTATCTTCCAATTCCATTAAGCTGTGCTCAAGCTGATTGCAGAAATCAGTGTCGCTATGCCAATTCTGATGGAGCCAGTAAGTCTGCCATATGCTTCGCAAAACCGATAGATTTGTAGCTCCCACCTGTGGTGTGTTTTAAGGTTTGAGTACAAAGATACTAGTATTCAATTTGGTATGTCCTCAAGTTCTGAGTGCATACCTTGAAAGTAACAAAGACCTCGAAATCTATTTGTTGCTGTTTATTCACCATGAGTATGTATTTTTCCTTTGCATATAGTCTCAGAAGCATCTTTGCCTGCTCAAATTAGATAAAAATTAAGAGCCCATTTCCTGTTGGCCTAAAAGGTACTTCACTTCATAAGACTAGCTCTCAAGAAATTGATAAATGAGATATAGCACACAAACAACACTCTCAAAAGCTTTTATATCTATACTAAGCACGGTCACAGACGTGGGATATTGATATGACATAATGTAGACACACCAACATGACAATTTTCACAAAATTAGGACATGAACATGGCAGCTTATCCATGAAAATAGTAACTTCAATTCAAATTTATGAATATATTTGTATCTTATTATATGAAAATGATAAGAAATTAGATTTTACTTTCTATTTATTAGAAAAGAAGTGTGAACAGAAAATCCAAATATCTATTTAAAAAATTCTATTCCCAAATGAAATTCCATGTTTTTGGATTAAAAAAAACCATAAATGAGGGAATAATAGGTATAAAATTCTCATTATTTTGATTATAATCAATGGCTCCCAAGTTATCGAACTTGTTATTGTTAAAATGTGTTTAAGAGATGGGCACGTATCGCCCAAGTGTCCGAAGTGTGTCTAGTTCTCACAAAATAGAAAAATAATTGGACTTATTTGCATGTGTATTCAACACGTGTCATGTTATGTCCAACACAGATATGATATGGCACCTTCAAAGAAATGTCAGCCTTCTAGTATCTATACAAAGGTTCATCATCCTTCAATTAATTGGCATATATATTATGCGTGTACGCATAAAAGGTGTAGATATATCCTAGAATGTAAGCTATATGCTACACAACAAAATGTAAACCTCTAGACCTATATACAATAGGTATTTTATTCGTGGAGTTCCATGACTATGTTAATTTGTGGTTAAGCAAGCTCCGAATGCTCTTTTGGAAGAATTTCAGATTTTAATACATGACTCAAAACGAACTTCTTAAAAACATAGTTCTTTCTAATGTTGTAAGCACAAGCCTTTATTCATCAAATAGAGGTTAATATACAACCTTTAAATAAGATGACAATTAAAAAAATGAAATAAAAGACCTAGGAACAAGCAAGGACAATTTTTAGCCCCCAACACCACGTTTGATGGGATTAATTTGTAATGTATCTAATGAACGCAATGATAATTTCAAATTTAAATGGCCCTAAACATCAATCAGTGAGTCCAGATCAAGTTTAAGCGGAAATTTTAATTGAAGAAACAAAACCACTTACAAACTTCAGAAGGCTATATCACATTTTTTTAGAAAACAACAGCAAAAAAGAGAGAGGAAATACCATGGAAACAGATATCTCTCCACCAAACATCTCTTCCAAGGACACCGCAAAGACGATCCGCGGTTTTAAAAATCTTTCCCATAAAAATATATTTTCCATTTTATTGCAATCAACACATCCTGATTCAGCACAATAAGAAATTTCCTCATTGTCATTAAATAGATTACTAAATGACATGGGGACAATAGTAATACATACCAGGTACAGTGGTGTGTAAGACATGCTCTTTTGCCAGTATACGAGCACGCTTGAGATTTATCTGTCAGAAAAGTTGCAAGTTAAAATATGGCCACGTGACAAGTCAGAGTTTACAAAAGTTGTTGTTTTCCCTTTATCTGATATTTTCTTCACCAGCTTGGCTCCGTAGAGAAGATTGATTCCGGGGGATTGAAAGCAATTAATGAAGAGCACCAAAGGTCCAAAACCAATCCTGTGTGCTCTAAATATAAAGAGTAGCCTCCTAGCACCCCCAACTTAAATATGATTTAAAGCTGGAGGCCAATAAGATAAAATAAATAAATAAAGAGGGAGGGGGAGGATGCCGTATCAGACGTCTTACAGTGTTAAACTGAAGAACTGAAAGAGATTGATAACGAAACCAAAGGTGCAGAAGCCGCATGGTCATCCATGTCAATTCTAACAGTAGATATGACGTTGAGAGGCCAGGTGTAGACTGCATTTATATTTCCAAAGTTATATTTATCCTCTGAATTAATTTGATTTCAGGTAGAATTCTTTGTGGAGACGAGAGAATATTGAAACCATCTTGACAAAATAGATAACATACCAGGATCAATATGCCCAGAGCAAGACCAACCATCTGAGCAGCCACTTCCCACACCTCCTCCTAAACCATTTGACCAAATAGATTTAGGAAAGCAAGCATTTAAGACAAAGCTCTTATATACTTTACCTACAAAGGGACAAAGCCAGGGTTTTTCTTCTGTAAGCCAGTCAATGAGTAATTAAAAATATTGAATTTTTAATTTTTTATTACAAAAAAACTACAAAGATCATAACATCAATTCCTATAAAGTTGATATATGTTGTTATCTATTTCCAACAAAACTGAAAGAAAGAACCAACATGCTACTCTGTAGAAAGCTAAGTAATGGTACTATTTTGGGGGTTTGTGTTATTAGACCAAAGTTTTCTAATTGAGAGCAACCACTCCACAAAGGGGATCTACAGAGCTGTGTATAATATACACTGCTATCAGATTTACTAACTTGCATGTTGAAATTAACAATTGGTAATGTTTCTTGCTTCTTAATTCACTCAAGTAGTGAAATTCCTTGAATTAAAAGAACAAAGGTCATATCCAATGGACAAGGCTCCCACTTACAACAAGACCTAGGATAGGTAGTAGGTAGGTAATAGGCAGCTTACACCCACTTTTTTGTGGAGAGGTTGATTTCTCTAACTCAAATCCAGGCCACAGGCTGGAGCTTGGAGACAAATAACACTTGCCACTCCACACCATATCACGACATTTCAAATTCCTAGAATTATTATACTACAAAAATATAAAAGCATGGTAGAAATAAGTATAATAATTTACCTTTGCTGATACTTCTCCCAGATTTCCTGAGATTGCAAAATGGTTTTGAATCACACGAAGTGATGGATCTCTTAGTCCCCTTCCCACGGCCTGTTCAAATTATCAATGAGTAGTAAAACACTGAAGAGTTTGATACATCAGCTAATATCCACTTAGAGACACACACACACAAAAAAAAAAAGAAGCTACAAACCTATACTAAATTCTAGTCAAATATTGTAAAAGAATAAGAAAATGTTCTATTCCCACCACACACAACAAACAAACAAACAAAAAAAAAAAAAAAAGAAGAAGAGGAAGAAGAAGAAGAAGAAGAAGAGCGAGAGGCATAAATGGATATATAGCAGATACACCTCCAATCAATCCATTTAAGCAATGAGAAAGTACGTAGTATGGGTAAAACGATATATATATGGAGCACCTTAAACTAATAAATTCTTAAATCAGGAATGATGAATGGAGGTATAGCCAAAAACTTATAATAAATACCTTGGTAAGATTTCCAAGAGATGCCAGTGGCAGGAAATAGGCAGGATAAAACAGTGTACTGAGATCAAAGATGCTGCATAATAGATTGACAAAATTAATAGCTTCAATTAATAGCAATTCAAATAACTTGGTTCACCCCAAACCAAAAGCTTATTAGAGCAACCTTGCTGCACTGCCAATGAAGTCTGCATACATGCGCCATTGTTTTGGGTCATCATCAAAAAGATTGCCAAATCGCCCACCTGAAAAAGATAGCCATGGTTACTGGAAACAGTTGCCATACCCATTTCTTTCCCTTAGCTTAATTGACAATTGCCAGACCAATGAATAAGCGCCCAACAGCACCAATGCCATCCTTCGATACCCATCTGCATAACGTGCAATAGCCAATGCTTCAATCCAATTTCAGACTACTTTCGAAGATTAACACAGTGGCTCCCTTTCCTTCTAAATATACAGCATATGTGCATGTGATGATTAGAACAAGGAAGATAACTCATCAAGATCTTTTCTTCGTATAATTTTACGGCCAAACCACATGCTTTCTCTTCAATTTCCTTATATAAAGAATAAATTGCAAGGGAACATTCAAAGGGAACATAGAACAAACTATACAGCCAAGAAAATTCAAAATACCTGATGGCAGCAGCAGAAGCAGCAGCAGTAGTTCCGGAGAAAGAACCCACACCAACAGCCTGCAGTGTTAGTGCATTATACTTAGTTCAAGATATACCAGGAGTACAACTCATCTCTAGAAGTTAACAGCAGGAAAATAAAAAACCATTAAAAAAAAAGAAAAGAGTCCAATTTGATAAACTTGCATGACATGGACATGAAGTGGCTGACTATACTAATGTAAGAAATATCAAGCAAAGAAAAGTTAAAATAGCTCCTCAGCTTTGAATGTTTGACCACAGCATGATTCATAGGACCAAAGAGAAAAACAACAAAAAAAATTCGACACATAATTTTTTTTTTTTTTTTTTGATAAATAACAAAAAAAATTCGACACATAATTTCTCATCAAGTTATCACATATGTTAGTAGTGGCAAATCAAAGATGTTGAAACTTGGGGATGTCAATGGTCAATACATAGAAAAAGCAAACATAATGTTTCTAAATGTTTGAATGAACATATGAATATGATATCTCATAAAATAAAAAAATACTGTAGAAGTGACTAGTATTCATAACTATACAAAATTATGGTGAACAAAATCTTCTACAAGATAAAATTTGGACCGGTTGGCAAATTTAACAACAGTTAATAAGAGGTTATTAATTCCAAATTCACATACCCAATTGGAATTAACGGCCTGGGTTAGATTGACATGCCTTTAAGAGACTTGAAGTGACCAAAGTATGACAGATCCATCCAGTAACATTGGTAGGGAACTGCAACAACATGTATTCCAAGTAATCATCTGAAACTGACCCTGCATCATATTTGAAAAAGGATTGAGAAAAATGTATCACCCTGAAAATAAACAAAACTATCACAAAAGTCACAACATAACAAACAAAATGACCTCAACAATCAAATCCTCTGACCAGACTTGGTTCCTACTTCCTACATACCCTTGTCATCCATGAAAACATCCCCTCAGCATAGGGAGGTCTATGGGTAGAAAAGAGTGCTGGAAATTAATTTGTCCAAAATTTCAAATTCAGGACAACTCTATGAGGTCAGCAATCAGTCTTAGTCACCATACTCCAATCCAAATGTGGTACGATATGTTTACCATCCTCCATTATATTTGAATTTGCTAGATGGAAAGTACATTAAATTTGATAGCATAGTTTTTATTATTATTTATTATTATTATTATAACCTAAGAGTGAACATTTTCATTATTTAGGATCGATTATCACAACGGCTAGGGAGATTGGAGCGGATGTGATTCATAGAATTAAAGCGGGGTGGCTTAAGTGGAGGAGCGTTTGGGGTACTATGTGATAAACGAGTACCCACTAGACTAAAAGAGAAGTTTTATAGAACAGTTATGAGACCAACGATGTTTCATTAGTTGAAATGTTGCACACCTAAGAAACAACATGTAAATAAGATGAGTGTTGCTGAGATGAGGATGTTAAGGTGGATGTGTGGTAAGACTAGAAAGGATAGAGTCAGGAATGAGTATATTCGAGAATGGGTAGGAGTAGTATCAATAGAAGATAAGTTAAAGAGAGAATAGATTGAGATGGTTTGGTCATATACAATGCAGACCAACAAAGGCTGTAGCGAAGAGATGCGATACAGTGACGGTAAATGAAAAGATTAGGAGAAGGGACAGACTTATATTGACGTGGGTTAGTGTAGTAAATAGAGATATAAACATCCTGAATTTGACTAATGAAATAGTGTTCGATAAAGTCGAGTGGAGAAGAAGAATTCGTGTAGCCGATTCCATTTGACGAGACCTAAAGTTTGGCTTGGCTTGGTTTGGTTTGGTTTGGTTTGGTTATTATTATTTTTATATGTTGGATATAACTCGGAATAGGCATTTGAGTATCGAGCTTAAAAACTTCTGTATATGTTGTCCCTGTGCCACGAATTACAAATTAATCCACTTCACTGAAAAAACAAGAAAAATAAAGTTATCTTTTTGTCACCTGGGAACCCTGTAGGTAGGATAAAATCTTTGATAGCATCTGGCAGCCAAGACAGTTGCACATTGGAAAATTTTGAGCCTTGTAACCCTTTGGTTTCTATTTTTTCGAACCCATGTTCATTAAGAAAAGTTCTTACTTGCAAGTCATTGTCTAAGACATACCTGTCAGCACAAATCAAAAGAAACAACTCAAAAAATAAAAAATAAACACAGGAGTATGGATAGCGCTTCATGGAAGCTGAAATGATTAGAAACTTCAGTGAAGTACCATATGGATAGCATTTCACAAGTATCTATTGTTGCTTTCAATGTGAAATATAGATTTGACTTTTTTAAGACAGAATGAGCAACAAAGGAAGAGAAAAATGCAAACTAACTACCTCTTTGAAGTGCCATTCCCATGTCTTTCCAATAATATCAAATTTGGTTCAACCTGCCCTCTACAAATAGAAATAATTATATGAGAATAATTAATTAAAATAAAAGGGGATAATAGGAAATGCAAAATAAAATTTTGAGCTTTATGGAGTTCCCTTTGCTTTAATTAGAGTCATGTACATACAAATGAAATTGTTATGACTTGAATTAGATTTCTCTTTCGTTTTCCTACATTTTCTGAGCAACCAAACAGAACTTTTCAATACAGACAGATAAGATACCTTCTATTTCCAGAATCTTCCGAGTCTCCATTGGATGGCTCAGTAGAGCAGAGAAGCTGAAGACTCCCAACTTTGGATCTCCTCAACTTTCTCGAGAATTCAAGAGAAAATGCGGGGTAGCTAAATTGCAGAGTACGCGACATACTTTCGATTTCTGTTTTTGGTAGAAACTACGTAACCACCATTGCTAATTTTCCTAATGATACGAAAGAGAAAAAGATCGATCTATCTTTGGATTTGTTTGAAGAAGAATGGAACACGTACTGAGCCTACGGTGAGGCTGTTTTGGCTCCGTTTGGATATTCATTTGGGCTAAAATAATCGTAGAGGATAAAATTAACTATTTTAATTAAGGGTAAATTGTAAATATATTTTTTGAGATTTGTTTAAAGTATAAATTTATTTTTTGTGGTTTGAAAAATTATAAAATCTCATTGTTAGTATTTTTTTTTAATAGAATTAACCAAAAAAATAAAATTTATAATTGATTTCTTATACAATAATAAAATTACTTAAATTATTAATTGAAATATATTTCTAACATAATTAAAAACTGTTATGATATTGATAATTTATTAATAAAAGAGACGATTTGTTATGAAATTAGAAACCTCATGATGGAATGTAATCTCCAAAATCACAGGGGCGATTCGTATTTTATTCAAATATCAGAAAGTGTATTTGTAATTTACCCTTATTAAATAAAATAAAATATTACATTCAACTCATAATTATTCCACTTTTTCTCTCATAAAAGTTCAAAAAATATAAAAAAAAATTATCCTAAACAAAATATTTTAATCCCAAATTAAAATAACCAAAAACTTAAAAACCCAAAAACCCAACCCACATCCCCAACCAACTCTTTATCTGAATCCAAAATCCAAATGCTTCCAAGCCTTTGAAACTGTACGGTTGTTAATTCCACGCGCCAAATATGTTTGGCCGGCTTGTTACTATTTTTAAGAATAATTATAATTTATTTTGATTTAAAAATTTGTGTCAAATTATTTGATATAATTTTTATTTATAACTTATTAAGTAGGAATAATTTAAATAAGCTAAAAAAATTGATTATTTAAAAACTGAGATAAAAACATTTTTATTTTTTATTTTTTAATTATTAATTTTTAATTTTAAAAAAACTCCACCAAACAGAGCCCTGGTTGCTCCTTGGTTTGAGAAAAAAAATTTAACTCAAACTTTAAAAAAAGTAATAAAAAAAAAAAAATTGTCAAACTTTTGTTACTTTCTTTTTTTTTTTCTTTCTAAAATACATAGTCCTACAAAATTTTAAAATCAGATTATATTTGAAAAATACTTATTAAAGACTAAAAATTTAAAATTTGAATCTCTTAGTGGACTTTTTAAAAAAAAAATTATGAAATTGGTCCATTTTAAAAAAAAAATTAAAACTATACCACATTTGAAAGAAATTAACTAAAGATTAAAAAATAATTAAAAAAATTTAAAAAATGGCCATTGTAGTATACTTCTTTTAGTTAAAAAATTTTATTTTAAGATTTTCTAACTTAGTAGCAATTAAAAAAATAACATTTTAAGAAATACTTTTTTAAATATTCATTAAAGATGAAAAAAATCAATACATTTTTTTTTCCCAAAACCCCACCGAGTATCTTGGACTTTCTATGTTTTTGCAAAGAAAAACATTTGATGCATGACATTATCATTTCTTGTTGAATCACAATTATGATAAAATATCCCAAAGTGTTTTCTATTATCATGATTTTTTTTTTAATAAAATATTTCATTTTCTTCTTGTTATATCCGTGGGAGATTTTGAAATTGCAAAATTGGAGGAACTAGAATAGTGTAATGACAAATGTCAAACGTCTAGACCTCTCAAGAATACAGAACAATTGAAGAACAACATGAACATACCAACATGAGCATCAACTTAATATTAAAATTATGTGAAATTTCAATATCAAGCATTAATTTTCATAATTCAGAAATATTACAAATGACAAATATTTATATAAACTACTCTGCAGAAATTCTAGTCTAGCATATATGATTTGTCAAACAAAACCACAGACCAAGGAAAATGAATTCCCAGTAGCTCAACAAATTCAGACCTACTGCAAATGCATTTAGCAGAGCATCATTCCCCCCAAAAAGCAGATATTCCTTACCGAACATGAACTCTAAAAAAAAATGGCGAAAAAAATTCAGTAACAGTATAATAGCAACGAAACCCTAGTCCGTTGAATCACCAGTGCTTTGCTTGTGTTTCTCGCGATTTTCCTCCACAATTCTTTGGAACTCCTCCTCACTGGCCGCTATTAGATGTTTAACAGTGTCAAAGCTGGTAAGCCTAATGCTGCAAAAGAGAGGGGGAGAAAATAGCAAAGGTGAATAAGTACTAGATTGAGAATAACGCAATTGAAAGTAAAAAATAAAGACCAGAAAGCAACTCTTTCATGGTGCAAGTCAACTCAGCTTCTAGGATCAGTGAAAACAAATTTGATAAGTTCAAGCACACACATATGAATTGAATGTCCAATAGAAATTATCCCACTCATCATCAAAATACCAAGTCACAAATCTGTTTGATGTTTTTTTAACTTGTTTTCTGAATTTTTGTAGGAAAAAAAAAACTAGAAATTAGTTTGACAAAAATAAATAACAAAAGGATATAACGCCTTAAAAAAGAGAATCATATGAAAATAATAAATATTTTTTTCATTTTTTCATTTTTTTATAGGTTCTGAAAACTCAACCAAATAGAGGCCATTGCCATATATGAAATGAAAGTGGAACACATCACAATTGTTTGTCAATCATGAAAATGATTCCCAAAAAGTATAGGACTATCATTGGACAAACAATGCAATAGCTTCAGTTAGAGTAAAGCCCCATATTCCTTTCCTGATAGCTCTCTTTTCTTACTATCAATACAAGCTAGCATATTGAAAACTTGAACAATATATTATAAAATAAGTATTTGATGAACAGTAGAGCGGATGCAACAGAAACCTGCTGTTTGGTAGAGTTTTCAGTGCATTGGGAACAAAACCCCTGTACAAACCAATTAAACCATCCCGTGCCACTATACCTGCATAGAAGATCAAAACAGAGAATTAGCAATCGGCTAATCTTAACTAGGAGTTCAGAAACTCAACCTTTCCCATCTATAATGATGAATGGATTTCATGGTACACGGTAAGTTAAATTAGTTAATGGAAATCATTGCAGAAATCAACTTTAGAAACCTCATTAAAAACTCATAACTTGAAAAAGGTCATTTCATTTTATAATATCTGGCAATACTATGTAAGCATTAGCTGAATGCATGGTCAAAAATTTTGAAAGACTTGAAACAAAATTTTTAGAGAGCATGATCTAACTGAAGATATAAAACAAAGCAAGCTATTATGCTCAGTTTATTGATAGTAGCTAACTGAATGTGTGTGCATGGTACATAAATACTTTCTTTACGCAAAGAAATGACTTGATTTTTATAAAGTCTATTCCCAATGTTGAGAATAAAGGCTTCCTCTGCTTTAATAAAGACATAGAATGCAAAAATGAAATGCTTACAACTTCAGATATGTTATAGATAGAATTAACCAAGATTTATTATGATACAATTTGCATTAATTTCTGTTGGTTTACAACTGTTGATAATTAAAAGAATTGAGTTACCTGAAAAAGCATCCAAAACTGTCTTGTAAGGTGTACCCTTCATTTGCATTTGCCTTCTCATTGTATCCAAAGGAAAGCACATCACCGTGGAAAGAGTAGCTGACAGCAAAGCTGTTACTATAGATGTTTCAGTCCTCTTTCGATACTTCTCAGGCAAAGACTTCTTCATCCTAATATATAGAACCAAATTTAAGGTATACAAATATCATTTAATAAACAATAGAGAAAAATATATTGCTGAAAGAGTAAGCTCACAAGTCAAAAATGCAAAAGTTCACAGCAATATAAGGTGCTATTGCAATAAGAGAAGGTCCAAGGCCAGTATAAAACGACCCAACTCCCTCCTCTCTTAGCATGTTCAAGGCAACCTGAAAACAATCCAATAAAACCCATGACATGTAGAGAAACTCCTTCAGAAATACAATTCAAATTGGTCAGTCTTACCTCAGACATTGTTTTATACCCAGGCTCAACAGCTAATCTTAACCTCAAGACATCAAGAGGGTATGTTACCTATAAAGAAACAAATAGCAAGGATTATAGGCGTTAATATTTGTTAATAGACATACATATAGGGTACGGATATAGAAAATACAAGATCCAATACAGATAATCACCCATAAAGTTGAGTTCAGAAGCGATCTCATTTGCTATATTACTCACAAAAGTTGAAGTCATGCCAGCAAAAGCACCAGCAGTGAGTCTTTCGATAACAGAGAGCTCACCATCCTTCCCCCTAAGAAGTTTCTAGAAATTCATAGGTAAAATACTAATCAAATGTTTGAAACAGTAGAGACCATAGATACATATAAGATGGAGTGTTAGGATTTTTTATTAAATAGTTTCGCTATTACCTTGTAGGTTTCATATGCAAACAGCTGGACTGCACTATAAGGTATGACGCGTATCACCTGGAATTGAAAAGGAAAGGTTTAGAAACTGAAACGCAACAAAAACCTCATCGGAAATTGTACAGGAATACATTAGTATAAGAAAAAACCTTATCCATGGGAAAGTAAATGTGATTGGCTAATATCTTTTCCCCTCTTTTGGGGCTCATGATTTCTGTAATTCTTTAGCATCACCTTGATGCTCTTTCTTTAATAAATTTTATTTATCAAAAAAAAAAAAAAAAGAAAAAAAAAAAGGAGAAGGACGCAAGGGACCTGAGGAAGGTTGCCTTTCCAGTACCCTTTAATCCCTTCTTGCTTTCCTATCATTGTGAAGGCCTGTAATTTGTGTCCAGATAAGCACCATCACTAAATTAAATAAGTTATTGGATAAGATTACTAAACGAAATAAGATACTTGTAAAGACAATAACTGCAGCAATTCAATGCAGGTAGATGTAAAACAATGGACTATAGTTTCGAGAAGATAACAGGAGCCAGAACAAATTCTTTATTGAAATCACAATAAAAGCAAAGTAGTATTCTAGTACCTAGAGGTGGACATCCGTATTTACTTCCCTAAACCTCAACTATCTTTTCGATTTGTCTTGCTACCAGTATGTAATTAGGAATCAAATCTAAAATGTTCATCCTTACTACAATCTGAAAATGAGACAGAATACCAAAGCATTGCAACAAAAACAATTATCCTCTAAACTAACCTCATCTTTAGTGGGCCCAAAATGAAACCCAGAAAAAAGAAGTGGCTGGGAAATAAAGACATGAAACTTAGTAAGGAATACAAGTCTGCAGTATATGGTGTACTGGTTATATTATAGATCAAATGGGCGAAGTCTTTATAGTACCAAATAAATGATCACACATTCATGGAATTGAAATAGAAGACAATTACACTCAACAATCACCTTCGATTGACAAACTCGTAGCAAACCCCTCTACAGGGGATAACCGAAGTCACAGACTAGAAACAGAAAAGTAGTGAAACTAAAAAGTTGATGAAATCCTTAAAGGGTATTAGGCTAGCTCTTATAGGTGTCAAAACTTAAAGCCAAGAGAAGCTTAAGAAGCAGAGTGAGAATATAATTTAGAAGTGGAACACACGTATGGGGGAACCCCCAGAAGAGGATTTGTGAGTAAAAGATGGATACCATACCATAAACTCAATGGCAGTGATCCCATTACATTTATGATTAATGATATATATTAATTATCAGTCTACCAACTTGTCTCATCGCATCAATAAAATTGCTTGACCAAACATTACAACACAAGAAACATGAACATGAATGAGACCCTAACTTAGCATCAAGAAATGCCGTAACAAGGAAAATTAAGTCAACCAAGTCATGAATTTTTCAGTCTTGATAAAAGTGAAACGATAATACAATCTATTAACTGACAAAAAATTGCATGGAATTTACTACATATGTAACAATTAAGTGGCAAGTGGAACCATAAGATACCTCAACGAACCCAATTCCTTTCTTAGCAGCTTCTTGCCCAGCTCGTAATCCATGAGTCTGCAAACAGATCACATTGACTGAGACTATATAGCAACAATCCAATCAAAGTAGCAGAAACCTTGTTGATAAGACAAGTTTCTCTCCAACCAAAAGGAAAATAAAAGAAAAGAAAAAAAAAAAAACAAAACAAAAGTGGACTATTACCTGTTAGGAAAACCAACAATTCCTAACCAGGATCTATGAGACATAAAATACTAAACAATAAGGCTAAAAATGGATTGAAACAATCACACACACAAGAAACACAAAAAATTACATAGTTCACCTCAAAATAGGATTACGTCCATGGCTACCGCAGTTTTCACTATAATCAGAAAACAATTACAATTCTCTTAACAATACAAGAGGCGCCCTCCCACATCTATTTTTAAGGATAAAAATTAAGGCAATGTGGAAGCAATAGGAAATTACCAAAGTACCCAAAAATTAAGGCCTCCCCTGGACCCTCCAACCCTCGGGGGAGTCCCCCAAAAACCCCATTGGACCCAGGCCAGGCTCGGTGTACAGTACTTATGAAGATCCATAATACCCAACACTATCCACCAATCCAAACACATGCATTGACTCTAAGCACAATTTTTTTTTTTTTTTTTTTTTAAATTCAACAAGTTCTGTAACAAAAAATCTCTTTCAAGTGAAATACAACTTCACCCAAACAGCAAATGTGAACAAAAACAAGAGCTAAAACCCAAACAATACCAACTCATAATTAGATTAGATTAAAAAGCATAACCATAATCAAATCTATACAAGAGAATCTATAACAAGAACAGCACAAGCCAAGAGACCTCCCCTAACGAAACCCTAATCCAATAACGAAACATTCGCATAATAGAAAGAAAAAGGCAAAAGCTTTAGAACAACACCTGCATAAGAAGCTTGATACGGTCAAGGGGGGCAGTGATGGTCTTGGAGGCGGCGCCGGAAACAGCGCCGGCGGCGAAGAGAGCGGCGTCTCGGGGAAGCAGCGCAGGCATTGCCAAAGGGTGCTTCAAGAGCTGGGCAGTCGTAGGAAAAAACTCTGGCTCCTCTCTCTTCTCCACCATCGAAACACATGCAAAACTGCTACCTCCGAGCCATCTGTTTGGCCATTGATGTTGGTGTTCGTGTGTAGCTTGAAAGAAACTAGTGTGAGAATAAGGTTCGAGACCCGGAATGTCGCGAAAAACAAGCGTGGGTGTGTTGGATCGATTCTTATTGGGTTGAATTGGAACAGAGGAAAGCTCCATAGCTGAGCTTCCTCTGTGAAACGTGAACAGTGGTGGCCCAAGAAGAAGAAGAAGAAGAAGATAAGGTAATGAAGCCAAGAGTCGCAGAGAGAGAAATGGAAAGAAGAGGTGGGGGGTTTATTCCATTTTGTTGAATTTTGATTCGCTTTCTGGTACTGTGTGTTTGGGGCTACGTGTGCAATTCAAAAGAATAAGGGTAAATTACACCTACAACCCTGTGATTTCAAACTACCACCCGGGCTACGTACGAACGAGATTGAGGTATTGTTTGGCATAATCTAAAAAATTTTAAAATTTAAAAAGTTAAAAAGTTATTATTTTATTTAAGTTATATTGTTTTATTTAAATTATATTATCTCTTTAATATATTATTTTAAATCTAAACTCTAACCTATACTCAGTACACTTATTTAGATCATTCTAAACTACCCCTGAATTTAAAAAAATTATTTATGATTATATCAAACATATTTTTAAATTATTTGCATAAAATATATGTAATTTTTTTAAAAAATATTGACATTACATAATTAAAATAATAAAAATACTAATTTATTACATTTGTTTGAAATTTATTGAATAAATAAAACAAAGTATAACTAAAATTTAAATTGTTATGAGCCTTCCATCAGTATTCTAGCATTGTTAACATAATAGTTAGTGTATAATTAATGAACAACACATATATTATATATTTATAAAATGTTATAAAGTAAAAATGTTATACTTACATATTATATATGTATATATATATATTTTTTTCCTTCTGAAAGGTATAAACATTCTTCAAACCAATCTTTATTTAAAACATTGGTCACGCACGGTGCACAATTTAATTGACGTGTCATTATTGGTATAGGTATGATAAATGCATAGGCACAATATTGGCATGATACAATATAATCTTTAATCATTCTAACGCCATTATGCAATAAAATTTTAGAATTATAACTTTGTGTTTGAAAATGTAAGAATAAATTATTTATAATAAATTTTATAATTTCCTATCTTTGATCTCATATCTTCAAATATGATGGTTGTGTTGACTACATATTTTGTACAAGCCAGTTACAATTCGACACGTGGCAAAGTAAGGGTAATACGAGAAGACTATTCAAATCTTTGATCCTGATCGTACACGTGACAGTTAGTATTGGTTGTTACGAGATCTGAGTACCAGTGGATCAACAAAGAGATACAAGGTGATGTGGCATCAAATTTAAATTGTTATGAGCCTTCCATCAGTATTCTAGCATTGTTAACATAATAGTTAGTGTATAATTAATGAACAACACATATATTATATATTTATAAAATGTTATAAAGTAAAAATGTTATACTTACATATTATATATGTATATATATATTTTTTTTCCTTCTGAAAGGTATAAACATCTTCAAACCAATCTTTATTTAAAACATTGGTCACACACGGTGCACAATTTAATTGACGTGTCATTGTTGGTATAGGCATGATAAATGCATAGGCACGATCTTGGCATGACACAATATAATCTTTAATCATTCTAACGCCATTATGCAATAAAATTTTAGAATTATAACTTTGTGTTTGAAAATGTAAGAATAAATTATTTATAATAAATTTTATAATTTCCTATCTTTGATCTCATATCTTCAAATATGATGGTTGTGTTGACTACATATTTTGTACAAGCCAGTTACAATTCGACACGTGGCAAAGTAAGGGTAATACGAGAAGACTATTCAAATCTTTGATCCTGATCGTACACGTGACAGTTAGTATTGGTTGTTACGAGATCTGAGTACCAGTGGATCAACAAAGAGATACAAGGTGATGTGGCATCAACGGTTACTCACATTTAAATTCAAATTTAAGAGGGAAGCCTAACTGTAAGTGATGGCGTAATGGAGCTAATCTTGAGGCAACATGATCAGCGATCATGGAGAAGCAGTTCGACGGTTGGAAATACAATTCGATAGTCATCCTTGAGCATTATAAATAGCAGAGAAGGCCCCAGAAAAAGCATTCACACTCAGGTCCAAAAAACCAGTCTTATTCTACTTTACTTAGTTTCTTTCCCCAATTTTACATTTCCTGTTCTTTACATTCCTGTTCTTTACATTCTAGTATTTTAAATTCCTGCACTGCACTTCATTTATAGGAGTAGTTTCAAGTAGATTGTCGTTGTAAATCTCTACGAGGCTGAGTTTGAATCATTGTAAATTTTTCATTCTAATGAAATGCTTCAGTTGTTTTTTATTTAATTGATATTTTGCTTAATTCTCCTAAATCAAGCTACCAGTAAAAGTCCTCTTCATTGAGGTTGAGAGAATTAAAACACAATCGTCTGATAATTGGTTGGCAATTAAGTTTCTGTAAGGACTGATTGATCCTTGCTGGCACGCTCGCAATTACAAAAATAACCTTCGAAAGTCAAAAAGCCAACATATATTTTTGGCACGCCCAGTGGGACTAATTGAAATGGCTAGACGTAGGAGACAAGGAGAAAATGAACGCCTGGAAGAAGGCATAGAAGGAGAGGTAGAAGTGCCTAATCCAGAGGATAATGTGATAACACGTCCTGTGGAGGCATCCAATTCATCAGAACCTATGGTCGAACAGACCAGCACTTCAGAACAAGTACCACATGTTCATAATATTGGACGAGACCAAGGAATTGGACCATTCACTATTCCATCTACTCAGCCAATAAATCCATGGGGTGGCCTAGTAGATGCTATGGGACAGCAATTAATGAACACAATGGAAAGGTGGGCAATATCCTTTTTGGATTGAATGAATAACCACCAACTAACAAACGTAAGACACATGGAGGAAATTTCGAATGTCCCTCAGCAAAGATTGACTAGAGATAAACAGCCTATGCAAGTTAATGGACATTCTAATGGTCAAACTAGTAATCAGAACTATGAAAGACCATCACCTCAGTCTTGGTACGAACCTAGTTCGAGGCTTGTAGCAGGTCAAAATGTCTCAGTACTTAACAGTGAAGCCATGCAATTTGGTAGATTTGGCCCAATACAAGAAAATGGCGTAAGAATGGTTCCAAATCCCATGTTCGAAGCCATACCTGGCACAAGGGGGTTCACTAATCCCTTATTCGAATTTATACCCGGGAGGTTGGAAGGTTTTCCTACAAATGAAAGAGACACAACACCAGTTCCAGCACCTTTCACAGATCCTTTCGCAGGACAGATTCAAAGGGGTTACCCACACCCCCAACAGCAACCTGCACCACAGGGATAACCAGCCCCAAACATACCACCTTATGGACCAAGAAGACCACAAGCACAAGTTTGTCCACCAAATCTTGTGTTTGTTCCTCCAATAGTGGTTCAGCAGCAGGCACAAAATATGGTCTCTAGGGACCAAATTGCTGACATTGTTAGGGAGATGTATGGACCGATGGCTCGGGGGGTCCAGACTCATGTGTACAGAAAACCATACCCAGAATGGGTAGATAGGGTACATGAATACCCAAGAGGTTTCAGGATACCATATTTCGCCCTTTTTTATGGGAATGGAAACCAATCAACAGTAGAGCATATTGCTAGGTTTGCTGCTCAATGCGGTGAATTTACTAATAATGACTATATGAAGCTGAGACTGTTCCCAAACTCTCTAACTGGGGGAGCATTTGTATGGTACATTAACCTTACACTTGGCTCAATCCAAACTTGGCAACAAATGGAAGAAGTATTTCATACCCAATTCTTTCAATCGGAGCTAGAGGTTTCCATGGCAGACCTGGCAAGGTTGAGTCA